AGGGGTGGGAGGTAGAGTGTTATTACTCATGGAGGAGTGGGAGGTTTCACTCGATCGTACAAACTATTCTAATTGGTTTTTCGACTGATTTTTTGTATGTCAAAATTTTAGCGCTGGGCCAGTAACCAGTAGTGTTTACTATTACAACCACCTCCCACCCCTCCTTGCGTAGTAATAGTCCGTCTCTCATCAATTCCCCGAGTACTAACACTCTGCCTCCCACCCCTCCCTTAATACTGATAGACTGCATCCCACCCCTCCCTGAGAACTAATGGTGTGCTTCCCTCCCTCCACCTATAAAATGGTTCAAAAGATGGTCCAAAAAATGGTCCCAAAAAACGGTCCAAAAAATTGTCCAGTCCATATTTTACCCTATGCCCGTGGAACAGTGTTGATAAAAATGCACAAATGCACTAATCGTAAGCAATTTAATAGTTCTTAAAATAATTATTTTTCTGGCGCCGTTATTTGAAACTGGAAAATTTAAATGTATCATGATTGCAAAATAGTCCTGGAAAAGATTTTTTGAATCAATTGAGTTTACGTGCCCTGTTCAGAAATCGATAAAATTAGAGAAAAAAGATGATTGTATTTTAAAAGTTATCGATTACATGGCGTGAGTGAAACAAAAATATGCCCCTTCAAAGAAAATTAGAGAAGCTCGAATTATAGTGAGTGGGAAGGCACTATATCAACTGAAATTAGAGGGGGAAAATTGATTACTGGTTTTTTTTTCCATTCATGCAGTGCAGATATTTCTCGTCCTCAAATTTCACTTAAATAAAGATGTCACGCGGGGAAAAAAAATCATTTTGATGATTTGATTTTGTTTATTAGAACACCTTTCATTATAATCAATTAATTTGGAGCAACAAGCTGAAATACAACCCTTTTTCTGGGATGACTGGGTTTGACAGACGAGAGACCATGTTGCCAACTTACTGGGAAACTGAGTTCACCAGGATCTGTCTCGGTATGAAGAACGGCAAAGAAACCAACTTCATCGCCATCAATATAACGGCTTCCTCCCTGTTCTCTCTGATCGCTGATGGGAAATACCACCCAACCTCTTTGGGCCGAGACAAATGGAAGTCGCTACTCCGCTCAAACGCCTCACTACAATCAAACTGCACCCGGGAAGGATTCAACGCATTTTGTGCGGGTGGTGCCTTTAAATCCAGGGCTAGAATCGGTATCATTGCTAGCCAAGAAAATCATTGTCACAGCTGTGATTCCAGCATCGGTTTTGGCACAGGAGGTCATCGTGGTCACTCGAACGCCTGTGGAATCGTGGCACTGGGTAAATCGGCAGAAGATGATGGGCACAAAAACATCAAGACCATGGGATTCATTCTCGTTCAATAATGTAGTAGTAATAGCCCCTAGCTGGTTTTTTTTTTTAAAGTAAACTCTCGGGTATTTTTTCTTAGACAAAATGTGTTCTTAGGAACGAACAGTTTATGAAAAGCAAGGCCCAATTTAAGGTGGTAGAGGATAGTGTCCGCAGACAACTACCCAAGCATGTTTTTTTTTTTTTTTATCTTCAACAGCTTCGCTGCACGTACTTAGACAAATTAAATTGCTTGCACGTGATAATATTTGATGAATCATAAAATGTGATAACTTAAGAAAATTTCAATTGTCGTTGAGTCCTAATTTTGTATAACGCCATGTAGAAAATTGAGTCGGCGGTACTCGGAATAATTTACCAACGTAAACCAAGAGCATTTGAAATTTGACTGGGTGTAATTTTTTGAGGTTATCATGGACTACGAGCAGTACCGCCTTTTTGGTTAAGTCCTTTACGTGAATAGAAGAACATCAGTGGAAAAAAAAAATCGTTGTTAGTCTGCCTGGCAGAACTCTGGAACTGAGGCCTGAGGCGCACAAAAAGTAGAAAATAAAAGTCATTGAAAGATATCCTGGTTAGAGATAAACTTGAAGGGAGGATATTTCAAATCGCTTTCAAATGGCATGAGTCGTGCAGGCCTGTCAACACTTTTTACCTAACTCTACTTTTCGTGCGCCTCACCCCCACAGTTCCAAGAGTAAACTGTTGTAAAGTTGTAGAGTATTGTACTAAAAAAGCAATGTGGTTTAAAATGCAGAGGGGTCGGAATAAACAGCTCTTGTCAATGCCAAAATTATGAAAAAAGGAGGACTTGGTTAGAACAGTGTTTGTACACTGATCAATTGACCGGCAGAGGACTGGGCGGGACATCAGTAGCGGAGATACATGTGTATCTAATGTGCACGGGAGATTATAAACTGAGAAGTTTACTATCTTTTTACGCGCGTCAAATATATTTTTGTGCAAAACCTCGCCACTTCGCTCTGCGTACCTAGTGCTATGTATATACCAACTTCTCACGAGTCTGAAGGTATAAGGGCGCGTGCTTCGGCCACGTCAACTTATCTTTGTCTTTCTTTTTATTTTCTTTTCTTTCCTTTTTCCTTTTTTTTTCCTTTCAATGAACATTCTTTTTCAAAAGATATGTTAGACATGTTCAGAGTAAAACGCACATGTGAGAACGTCTTACGACGTAGCTTTCATGTTCAATCGATAACAAGTCCAAAAGCAGAGCTGAGACGCTGAACAAACATCGAACTAAACCCAACAAATCAAAAATGAATCCGAAAAAACCCAATCAGGTTCGTTCAACGATGGCCAGAGTGAGAGCTGACCCAGATCACAAGAGTCGTTACGAGTGTCCCACGATAGTCCACCATTTTGAAAACCGTGAGGGGCTTGGTGGAAAGTTTACGGACTTACGTATACACGACACCATAACAGTGCTTAGGGCCTTCCTAGAAGAAAGGTACGTTAAGCACAAAGAGTGAGTAGCCTACGTTGGATACACTGGATGTAAGCCAAGAATCTGGGCCGACCACATGAGATGGACGCCAACTGGTCAACTATTTTTTAAAGATGATATGAAAGGACAGATAAATCGCTTGTAGCAGGTGAGGAAGACTTCTTACCCAGTTTGGGTACTCAAAATATTTGTCTTCAAACGGGAACGCACACATTTGCTTGAAACCTTGTTGTGCCCTTTTAGCTCCGGCAATACACTTTTGCTTTTCCTGAGGGCACAACGTCTTGATTACGGGCATTCCGGTTATCAGGTGATAACGCTTGTTGTATGTGATAAAAATCTCCTGTCGAAACGTGACCCAAGCTCTTTCTTTTTTTCGCGAGGCTCGCTTTTTATAGGGTCACGTGACGTCAATCAGTCTAGCCATGCAGATCCGATTTTCCCTGTGCGTGGTGAAGCTGAGGAAGTGACTAAAGCGTGGTGAGTACATAAACATTAAGTTCTTCAAGTGAGGAGAGTTATTACTAGATATTTGGCCAAAGAAACAATTAAGCACAGTATCAACATTTAAGTTGACTAGTTGACATATAGTAAAACTACACCGAAGCCGAAATTTTGTCCGTGTTGATATCCAGCAACTGAAAACTAATGATCATGAAT